TCTCGAAGTCGTTGTTTTAATTGTTCTATTTCTAAGGCTATTTCTTGCTTATGGGTCATATAGTTATTTATTTTAAATAGGTCTAAACTTTACTAAATTACTTAAATCACTATCTTTAATTTTAAAATAAACTTACTATGATTGACAGAAAAACGTTATTAGCACATTATCCCCCTTTTTTTCTTTTTCGAATTTTCTTCCGCACGGTTACTTGGCTGGTTTTTTCTCTTTTGCTAATTATAGGGAAAAAATATAGTGAAGTGGATATATTAGGGAAAATTTGCCGCTTTTTTGGTAAAGAATGAAGTTTCAACCAGTATTTTATTGGAACCGGAGCAGAAAAAATTAAATTACTAAATTATGGGCTTGGTCTTATTGGTCTAATAATTATTTTGCATCTAATCTCCCTCTTGGTTAATCGCCATTTATGAAAAAAAGACCAGTATATCGAAAATAATAGTTTCTACCTTCATCAACGGGGAATATTTATAACCAACAGCCTTATTCATATTGCCAGTGCTTTCTTATTAACATTTTGTTTTACCAGCACTATCACTATTATTTTTGCTTTGCTGTTTATTTCTTTTAATACTTGGTGGTGCTTTCCTCGCTTCCCCCAAGCCCTTGTTCCCCGAACTGAAACTTTTTTTTCTTGGAAAAATAAGTATGTGTGAAAAATACTTCTTTATTCCACCATTGTTATTTTGGTGATTCCCTTTATTCTCAGTAATTTTCAAAACTTTCACCACCAAGCAATAGAAAAAAGTAGTGAAGGATTTGCCAAAGCCTACCAAGAATTAATTAACAGTTCGGAGGTCTTAAAAAAAACCGTTGATTTAATATTAAAAGCCAATTATAGTCTTTTCCATTGGTTCATTCTCCTTTGATTCTTTAAAGGTATAATTGCTGAGAGAAAGAAAGAATTGGGGGATTTTTGAACCCAAGTCAATGGTATTGAAAAGAAAGTAAATAATTTTAAGCATTATTTTTATTACCAAGAAAGTTGGGCTCGTGTTAACAACACTTTAATTAATTTAGGTGATTATAGTTACTTAAAAAATAGTCCGGGATTTTTGAGTAAAGGATATTTAGAAAATGATTTAGATATTGAGAAGTTTGCTCAGCAAAATCGGCAAGTTATTGAGTATGTTAAGTTTTGCGAGGAAAAAATAAAAGAAACTCCCCAAAAAAACTTTCTTAACTATTGCTTGTTTACGGAATTCAGTAACTGAGAGGATTGTGTGAGAACAAAAAAATTAGTCCTTAGAGCCAAGAGTTAGAATATTTTTTTGGCAATAATATAGAATTTTACACCAACCATTAAAATTAAAAATATGTCAGAAAGAATAAATATTACATTATGCAAATTAAATGTAATATTTTTTTTTAGGTCTTAAATAACTCACTGCCACCAGAAATTAATTTTTCTGGAAGCACCTTCCAAGAACAAAAGAAGGTAAAGAGTTTTTTTGTTTTGTCATGTTTTTATATTTTTATCTTTACTAACTTTTTTTCTTGGGGTGTTTTTATCTAACACAAAAAATATGGTAGACATCAAAAACACTCTCAATGAGTTAAAAGCAATCATAAGCGATTTAGAGACCCATGCTACTTCTACTACTGCTTTGACAGGAACAGATTTAGCCAATTTGAAAAAGAGATTAGAGCATGTAAAAGATAAATCCCAGCCCCGACATACTAATTTATCGGCTGATTTAAACACAGATTTAAAAGACATCGAAAATATTGACAAAACTATTGGAGCCGAGAAATTAAAAACTGATGCTGAAATAAAAAAATTGACCGATGAAAAAACCCAGTTGACAACTGATTTAAACGCCAAAGATGCTTTATTGAAAGAAAAAGACGAAGCCATTGGCAATAAGATTACCAAAGATTTAATCGATAAATTAGAAAAAGTAAGTAAGTTAGATTTCAAAAAGCAACCCAAAAAGAATGCTGATGGAACCGATATGAAAGATAAAGATGGCAATATTATTTATGAGGAAATTGTTGATTTATCACCTTTGAAAACTTTACTAACTGAATTAAAAGATAAAAAGGTGGAAGTAGATAGTAGCAAATTAGCCACTAATGATAAACTTGATGAAGTAAAGAACAAATTGGAAGAAGTAGCCAAAAAAGAAAGTGGTAGTGATAAGTCGCAAATTGGCGTATGAATTGCCTGTGGAGCTTCGATAATGACAGCGTTAGGAGTAATTTATTTAGCCTTAACTAAAAGTAGTTCATCAGGTTCAAAAAGTAGTCAGGAAGAAGGTGAATAATTTTTTTTAATTACAACAAAAACAAAAAAAACATGGCAAAGAATAGTAAGCAAAAAATATGTCAGTATAATTATTCTGGCTGTCAAAAAATAGCCGAGTTTCAACACATTAAAAAACTAGGGACAGTTCCAATAGATAAGGGTTGGAGTTGTGGCAGTTGTAAGCAATATTTAGAAAAAGACCAGTCATAAAGATTATGAATAACCTTAATGAACGAAGTCTTGATAACTTTGGCAAGTTGTCTGAATATATCGAGTATTTACAAGCCCAAAATCTAGCAGCGAAAACGATTGAACTTTATAAATCAGTTAGTAGATGTTATGGCGATAGAGAGTTAAATAATGAGAATGTTAACAACTTTTTTAAAGAATTAGTGAAAAATCATGAACCTTCTACTTGTCGCATTTACAGTCAAGCATTAACATCCTATGCTCGTTTTTGCAAAGTTGAGATTGATTGAAAGCGAATTAACAAAATTATTCCTGCCCGAGTAAGAAAATTTTTTACCACAATTAGCAAGGAAGAATTAAAGCAGTTAAAAGAAGCCAGATTAGAAAAGAACGAGCAACTTTACCAGCGCAATAACTTAATCTTTGATTTTCTTTTTTATAGTGGAATAAGAATTGGTGAATTAGTAAATATTAAGCACCAAGATTGACAGGGAAACAGTTTAAGAGTATTAGGCAAAGGTAATAAAGTTAGAAGTGTGCTTTTAACACCCTATTTAATAAGGCATATTAATCCCCAAAAAGCAGGTTATTTATTCCCTAATCGGTCAGGTAAGATACTTTCAGCACACCAAATTAGGGAAGTATTACGACAAAGAATTAAAAAGGCTGGAATTAAAAAGTGGGTCAGTCCCCATACTTTTAGGAGAAGTTTTGCGACTTTGTTGAATAATAGAGGGGCACGGCTAACGACAATTCAGACCTTATTAGGACATAGTAATATTACCACGACAGCGAATTATATTCACAACGATTACGATTATTTGTATGCGGATTATAGTAAGATTTTTGAAAAAGAACCAGTAAACTAATGAAGGAAATTAAACACTGTAATCAAAATAATAAAGAAAATAAAAAGGACTACACCTTAAAGGAAGTAGTTTTTAACACTGTCGCAAGTGCGAGAGGTGATGAAAAAAGAAAAGCGAGGGCGTATTATGAATGTTTGGGCTGTTTGGCTGAAATTAATGGATTTGATAAGAAAATGAATAAGTTAACTTGTTCGACAGTCTGCGGACTCTGACTTCAACGCTTAATTTTAGAAGCTGAAACACAAGCGGACGCGGATAAATTATGTAAGCGATTAGGAGTTATAGAAAGCAATTTAGACGAATATTTTGGACTAGAATTTAGCGACCCACTAGGGCAATTTTCAACCGCTCGCCTATCTTACGAATACAAGCAAGAGCAAGAAAAGAGCAAAGTATAAAAGTTATGGAAAATCTAGCAATGAGTAATCAAGAGACAATTATTTTAAAAGATAAGCCGAAATGAACCCGCACGACATTCGATAATTTTGATGGGCGGGTTTGGTGCTATCGCAAGAAAGAAATTAACGAACACGAGCAAGAATGACCGAAAGGCTATTATTGCTATGGATGTAAAGGCGACTTAATATTTAGGCATTTAAGCAGTTATGGTCGATACAATGAGCCTTTTAGATTTCACAGGCTACTAGTTAAGAAATTAGACAAAAAAGATGATGATTGAAAAACAGGACGCAAAACGACTTATTATTACGCTTTTTGCTGTAAATGTGCGGATGATTACCAAACCAACCCGCTTAATAACAAAGTTAGAAAGTGAATTGGTTATAGTATCAGCCGAGAAATAGAAAAATGCGACTGTCAGGCTTACATTGACAAGGAAACCGAGGAAACCCGCCGAGCGATAGCAAATTATAAAGAAATGATAAGGCAAAGCGAGATATTAAAGGGATATTTGGGAAAAATAGCCAATGACCGATTTAGTGAGGAATATTTAAATAGTAGGGTGCGCGATTATCTAAAAGTTGAAAGCGAAAAAAACGCCTACTATGACGAGAAAATAAACTCAAAAGAAAATTATTTGGGACAGTTAGCCAAATGAGAAATTGACAGGAAATTATAAGACTATGAATAGGCAAAAGAGATATACAGATAGCAAAAAAAATCTCAATCAGGAAAATACAGAATTAAAAATAGAAAATCAAGTAATAAAAAAGCAATTAGTCGCTATTAGAAATATGTTAAATGATATTCTAGGAAATAATGAAAGCGAGTTAATAACAAAGATTAAAAAATGTGCGAATGAGAGTTGTAAATCTCA